CCCGGGGGTCATAACATTGCCTGCTTCATAGGCTTGTTAAGAGAAGTAAATGAGCTACTGAGCCACCAAATAAGTAAAGAGACTTAGGTGCGTACATGCAAAGTCGCTTCAGCCGTGTCCGAGTCTGTGCGACCCCATGGACTGTAGCCCCGGGCTCCTCTGTCCACGGGATTCTCCAGGCCAGAATCCTGGAGTGGGTTGCCATGCCCTCCTCCAAGGGATCTTCCGGACCCAGGAATCGAACCCGCATCTCCTGTGTCTCCTGCAGTGGCAGGCAGGTTCCTTACCACTAGTGCCACTTACTGCGTGCACCAAGTAAGCGCTCGGCAAATACCAGCTATCCGAGGGGACGCTGAGGCTGGGACCTGCCCTCCCCCCAGGTCACTCCGGCGTGGCTCCCGACCACCGCGCCCTACCGCCGGTCCGGGACGCTGGGCCCTGGAGATCTCACCGCCTGGGTGCTCCCTGTTTCTGCACACCCAGCTTCAGAGCTGGCTCTGACCTTGGCCGAGGCTGCAGGCAGGCAGGAGCGAGGAGCTGGATTTCAGCGGTCTCCATCTACGGCCACCTAAGTCGTGTGCAGGGCATCACGGTGTCCCGACTTGGGCCTTGGAGGTCAGTGGGTGTGGCTCCCAGTTTTGGAACCCCCTGGCTCACCATATTTTTCCCGCTGGGCCTCAGTTTCCCAGCCTGTCAAGCGGGCATAACACCTACCGTGGGTGGCTCACGTCTGCTGAGAGGAGGAAGTAAAATGATGAACGGTTCCCAAAATGTGAAGTCTAGGCAGCCTTTGTGCCCGTCACAGAGAAAGCAGTACAGCCTGATAGTTAAGAACACATTCTCAGGGTGAAGCTGGTGGGAGTTCTGGCTGGACCGGAAGGGCCGGTCAGTTCGCCAGCCTGGGCCTCGGTTTTCCCATGCGTGAAATGGACAGATAAGAAACGCTTTACAGGGTTCCTGGGAAGAATATGTGCGTGAAAGGCTCAAAACCAGAGCGAGGGTGGTCGTCACCGCCACACGGCATTTACCCCCACTCCTGAGCTCCGAGAGCGGTTATGGCTCGGTTCCACGCGGACTAAGCAAGTCCAGTCACCAGTATTAGCTCCGGATGTTTGCAGAGCCCTCTGGTCTCTCCCATCCATTTTCTCGTATTAGGAAAAGCAAACAAAGCACTAAGCATTTCAGCTTCACAGCCCATCACTCCACACCACCGTGCGGTCTCAGCTAAACAAGTTCAGACCTGGGTTGTTGGGGTTTTTTTCCCCCCCAACTGCCCGCGGTGCTATGATCTTTTTAAAGTAGACTTTGCTTAGTCTCAAATCCCAAATTCAACAGTCGTGACAAGGTCTTAGCCAAGCACCAAGGTCTCTTCCTGCCCTCCCTTCTCCCTTCCGCAGGCCCTACAGCGAAGGGTAAGTGGGCCATTGACTGGGTTAGCTGAGCCCTCTGCTCCTGCCTTGGGGGGTCCTTGGTTCTTTGGGTTTTACTGCTAGTTCTCAGAGACGATCTCAGCTTTTAAAACATATTTTCCTCTTGCATCAAATATCACAGTGATTGGGCCACTCCCTCCTCTGCACCCATATTCAAGTGGACACCTCCCTCCCTCTGGACCACCACGTCCATCACCTCCTCCTGCAACACCACGACATCACGCCTTCCACCCTCGCTATCACTTTCACAGCTACTCCCAGCCACCTCCCCCCGCCACCTCCTTCACCTCCATCACACCTCAGCACCTCCATCACCTCCACTGCTTCCACACAGGGATCCATAAAGTTTACGAACAGCCTGTCTTAAGTAACACAAAGTCTGCCATCACTTTCCCATTTCAGAGGCAAAAGAATTTCCCCACAAAAGGCCAGAGGGTTAAGGACTCTGTGGCAGTTCAGAGGCGAATAAGTCCTTTAAAAAGGTCAAATTCATTTCTGAATCTAGAGAAACAGGGAGGTACACCCTGGAACCCTTGCCTGAAAGTGTGCATCATCTGATTCTGTACTGTGGGGTTAAAAGATGGGAAAAACAAACCCACAGACCTGGCTAGGTGTATGAACGTGCTTGGTGAGTGTGAAAACACTACATAAGATTTTTTATCGTGACTGGGAGAAACATGTATTGATTCCTGTCTTCACTATGTGTGCACTGAACACCTTCTGTGTGTTAGGCATCAACTGGCTCATGAAACAATTCAAATCACACCTTCATACAGGTTATGTATATTTGAGTGAGCACCTAACAGGCACCAGGGGTCTTCCCTGGTGGGTCAGCAGTAAAAAATCCGCCTGCAACGCAGGAAGACTTGGGTTTGACCCCTGGGTCAGGAAGGTCCCCTGGAGGAGGAAATGGCAACCCATTGTTGGTATACAGCTCCGGTATTCTTGCCTGGAGCATCCCATGGGCAGGGGAGCCTGGCGAGCTACAGTCCACGGGGTCACAAAGAGCCAGACAGGACCGAGCGACTAAGCAACAATATGCACCTGGGGTTCTGCTGGGTGCTGGCCCCCAGATTTCCAGAAACCTGCCCACCTTCTGATAATGTATTAATAAGGAGACAGAGGTCAGAGAATTAAGTTGTCTCTGTGATGAGAACGTGGGGAAGTCTTCTCTACTTCTCTGGACTTTGGCAGCACATCTGGTCAAAAGGTAACGGATTGAGTTATCCAGGGCAGGGTTGCTCCAGAGGGATGAACAGATGCCCTGGAGAGCTTGTTAAAATGCAGGCTGTGGTTCAGTGGGGCTGGGCTGGGGTCTGAAACTCTGCATTCTTGAGAAGCACCTGAATGCTGCGCAGGGCTCCATGGACGTTGCTCAGAGCAGTGAGGTGTTTCATCTATGGTTCTCTGGGGACCACAGGCTGGGCCACAGGCATCTGGGTTCAGGGGGACAGCCACGGCTGCAAAAAGCTTCATGTGCATTTGGAATTCTGCCTCCTCACAGCAAGCTCCCGGCACAGCTGGTCAAAGTCACAAAAATCCTAGCCTCTGCCATTTTCAGTCCCAGAAAATCCCAAACAACTGTCTGAACCTCTGTCCCAGGCCTTTATTTCTGTGGACAACACATATCTTGTGAGGACCTACTAAGTGCTGGGTTCTGTATTAGACGCCAGAGCTACAGGGGTCAGCAGAGCAGACACAGCCCATGCTCTGGAGCCGTCACCTGGCAAGGGGTCATTTCTGGGCCTTTACGCCCCGCGAGGGACAGGAAGGGACATAGTGGATACACTGGCTAAACTGCCTGGTGGTTGGTGGTTTAGTTGCTAAGTTGTGTCCAACTCCTGTGACCTTATGGACTGTAGCCCGCCAGGCTCCTCTCCCATGGGATTCTCCAGGACAGAATACTGGAGTGGGTAGCTGTTCCCTTCTCCAGGGGATCTTCCCCACCCAGGGATTGAACTCAGGTCTCCTGCATTGCAGGTGGATTCTTTACCTTCTGAGCCACCAGGAAAGCCTGCTAAATTGCCAAGCTGCCCCACCCCCGAGCTCCTTCCACAGAGCACTGGGGTTGCCGCTGGCCTGCACTCTGGCACACGGAAGGCTCACAGCCAAACTACTCCATGACCAAGCCACGGCTTGAGCTGGGCCCCGGAGATGCAGACATGGAGCAACCAGGGCAAGAACCGTCAGACAAGCTCATTTTAACTCTTAGCTCACTCCTTTTCCTCAAATGTAACATGGGAAGTTTTGCTACCAGCTTCATAAGGTTGTGGGGCAACTTAAATGAGTCAGCATGCAGATACAGACCTTAACACTTTGCCGGGCACACAGTAGGTGCTCCGTAAGGGTTGACTGCCAGTTATATACGAGACAGCTTTGAACAGCTGATAGAAGGAAGCCTTGGTATGACATTCAAAACACCCCACTGTCTGTGCCTCTTAACAGATGCTGCGTCCCTTTCACCCTGCCTCGCTGAACCCCTCCCGGCTCTCCCATCAGGTGGTACCTTCTCACACCTCTAAGTCTGTGCCCAAGCTACTCCCTCCATCTGAAAGGTTTTTTTTTTTTGGTACCCACTTCATTCAGGGGTCACCTCTAAGCTCCCCCAAGTTCCCGTGCACACCTGTCCTCATACCAGCGCTCGTCCAGGGAAGCAGAATTGCCTATGTTTGCGTGGCCAGTCCGACAGGGGCTCAAGGGTAAAGGCTTGCGTCATCCACGTCTGCCAGCGCCAGGCCCGGGTCCCAGCGACGTGCTGACCGGTTTGCGCCGAGCAGACAAAGGTCCTGCTTACAGGGTCTCCTTTTCCAAGTCACTGCCTCGGGGAGGCCTTCCTTGATCACCTGTTCTGTCCTCCAGAGGTTGTCAAGCTAGCAGGCATCAGAAGGATTTCTTACCAGGGGATTTCTGGGTCAGTAAGTCTGGGGAGGGCCCTAAGAATTCGCACTTTTAAAATTACAGCGCTGATCGGCTCACTTCGCGCGCTCCTGTTCTGCCCCCACGTCCCTGGTTTATCTCCCTCAAGGCACTCGTAACTCTCTGAAATGTTTACTGCTTATTTCTCTTGTGTTGCCACAGACCTCCCATCTAAGCTCCACGAGGGGCAAGAATTTTGGGTTGTCTTGTTCTGCGCCCAGCACGGCACAGGGCTGGGCCTGGGACTGAATGAATGAATGCCTGAGGTTGAAAATCAAGTGACAGATGGTCCGCTGGGCGAAGGGACCCCCCTAGAAGCCCAACTCGCCGCTTCACCACGCCCCCCGTCCTACTCCCTGGAACCTCGCGCAGCTCCCCGAGGCCCCACGCCACGGCCCCTTTAAATGTGCGCGGGGACGCCTCGCCCCTCGGCTCCCTGGATCCCTGACGGAGCAGAAAGGAGAAATTTAAAAAGCCTTCCTCTCGGCGAGCGGGAGGAAACGTCTCGGAGTGGGCGGAGGCGCAGCGGCCGCAGCCTCGGCACCGGCAGAGGCCCGGCGGCCAGAGCGCAGCGCGCGCGGAGCCGGGCGCCCGGAGTGGGGGGGTGCGGGCCCCGCGGGGCGGCCATGGAGTGAGGCGGCGCGCGGACTCGCGCTCGGACGGACCGAGGCACCGACGGGCGGCCCCGGGCTCCGCGCGCTGGAAGATGAACAGAGCAGGTAGGAGGCTCCGCGGGGCACGCGCGCCAAGGGGCCCCGTCCGGCGCTCCAAGTTGGAGCCCGCCTGGCTCTCCGGAGCGAGCTGCCCAGAAACCCCCCGACCTTCCGCCTGGGCTGAGGGACGGGCGGGTCCTGAGGAGGCTGAGAGCGTCGGGGGCCTCTCAGTCCCGTCTGGGACGCCCCACCTCGGGGGCGCCCCCTCGGTGTCGGCGAGGCCGCACCCCGACCCCCGATAGGCCGCCTCCGGCTCCCACCGGGGCCCGCGGCTTGGGGGTCCCCTCGCGACGGGGAAAGACGCTCCCTTCGCAAAAGCGACTTGGTAGCGCCCCTGAATCCTCCCTCCTGCTCCTTGGGGTCCCCTTCAGGCTCTCGCTGGCCCCCGAGGCCCTCTTGGCCCCCGGATCCGTCTGCGTTTTTCCCCACGCCAGGGTCTATGTATGCCTGGTCCCTCACTCGTGCGCGGCGCGCCCTTGGCGGCTTCTCGCGCCTCTCCCTCTTCTGGACCCCCCCCCCCCCCCGCCCGCCCAGACTTGGAGCTCGCTCTCCTTTGGAATTAAAAAGTCCTAAATGATCACACCCCGCCCCCGTCCCCCGCAGCGGCGCGCCCCCATCCCCTGCGGGGCCCTGGCCCGGGGCCCCGCTTTGTGCCTCGCGGGCGGGACCGAACGCCCAGGGGACGGCGTTCCCTCCCAACCCTCGCGTCTCTGCCCTGAGAATCTGCCTCTGCCCGCCCGGGGCGTCCGTGAAATCCCGAATGCGTTCGACGGTACAGAGCGATCCCCTCCGAGGACTGCCATTTAACAACTTACTGACTGAAACCCAGAGATGGGCGGTGCCTGGACCCCAGTTCCCCGGGGTCCTGACTCCTCCGCGGGGAGGGCAGAAAGTTGCCTCCAAGAGGCGAGTTGACGAGGAGGCAGCCGTCCCAGCTAACTTCACTTGCCTGCCAAGGAGCGATTATCGCTCTTTTCATATTTTTTTTTTTCTCATAGAATTTAGCAGAAGGCAGCTCCCTCCCCGACCAACACCCTTGTCCGAATCCGAACTCCAGAACACACATCCCTAAAGAAACAGGAAGCCACCATTTTGGCTGTCTTAGAACCATATCCTGCTGCCTTGGGTGGGTGTAAAAAAGCGTGTGTGTGTGTGTGTGTGTGTGTGTGCGCGTCTGTGCGTTGTGGGCTTTTCCTTTCTCAAGTGTTTTTAATGAATAAAATCTTTGTCTGAGGAGTGAGGTGCGGGTGGGAGACGTTTGGCTCATCGATCTGACAAAGGAGACACTTGGGGGCTCAGGAACGCGGTGGCCGCCTCCCTGTGTCCCCACAGCCGGGCGTGGACACACCTGCTTGAGTGTTGGTCGAGGGGTAGGGGCTGAGGTGGGGGCAGGGTGCCACTTTGCAGGAGTGGAGAGAAGACCGGGGCAGGGTCCCAGTGCCCAGCCAGCCCCCTCCTTCTAGGAAGGAGGTGGCCTGCTGCTAGATCTAGCGCGGACAGAGCCAGGCTAAGTCTTTCCTACACGCCTAATAAAATTTGCTGGAAAACAATGGTGAGAGCCCTGTGCGGTTTTCCCACGTTTCCCTGCACGAGACTCGGGCAAGCCCTCTATTCTCGGAGACTCCAGGGTTTGGAGTGAGCCAGAAAACGCTTAGCGAGCGGCAGGTTTGGTCCTATAAAATCTCAGCACTTACTGCTCTTGGGTTCCAGCATCCTGTAATTTGCGTCTAGCGTAAATCTGGTTACTTTTTCTGTGTGATGGCAGTCATAGACCTCACATAATGATATGTATGAGCTTGGCTCTGAATGTCTTGATCATGCAGCCGCGTGGTTCATACTCGTGGGACTGAACCCCATAACCAGCGTATGCCTAGTTATTTGACCTTGAGCAGGTTGGTTAACTTCTCAATGTCTATTTCTTCATCTTGAAAATGGGGATAATAAGATCTTTGTTGTTAAGGTCTCATAATTAAACAGAGCTTGTCAGCGGCCTAGCACGGTGTCTGTCACCTTACGTTGTTGTTATTTAGTTCCCAGGTCGTATCCGACCGACTCTTTGTGACCTCATGGACTGTAGCCCGCCAGGCTCCTCTGTCCATGGGATTTCCCAGGCAAGAATACCCAGGTGGGTTGCCATTTCCTCCTCCAGGGATCTTCCTGACCCAGAGATCGAACCCAACTGTCCTGCACTGCAAACGAATTCTTTACCATGGGGCCACCTGCGAAGCCCCCATCATATTATACATAACCAACAGATTACTAGTTAATATTGAACCAGATGCTGCTCTTTAGTCTTTTATACTTGTATCAGTTCGGTTTTCACAGTAACCTCATCCTGAGTACTGTTGCCATCCTCATTTTATCGATGGGAAAATTGAGCTGCAGAGATTTTGTGGTTACTGACCTAATAAGGAGCTGAGACAGGGGTGAAACAGACTGTCCAGCTTGAGAGCCTGCTTTATTTATCCGGTGCATAACACATAGTAGGTGGTCAGGAAATGTCTGCCAGTTGACTTTGTTAGGTACCTTATGTGGGTTTTTTGCCTTGAACAAACATCGTTGCCTTGAACAACAGCATTATGAAAAAAGCAGGGTATTTCTTCCATTTTATCTAGAAAGAAACTGAGGCTCAGAGAGGCACAGTGACGTGCCTGAGATCACACAGCTGACGTGTGCGGAGCTGAGGTTGGAGTCAGGTCTGTCCCAGCCATGCCTTTCCCACGTGGGTCGTGGGTCCCACACCCGCCATGGGTTGCTGGACTCCTCTAACCGCAGCCTCATTAGAAATCATCAGGCTTGACTTGGACATTCCAGCAGGCATCCAGGAATGAAATGTAAATTAAGATGCAATTGGAAGGTGAAATTGGAAGATAATTACTCTTGAAACATATGGTTGTGAGAGTTCCGGGGGAGAACAGTGAACTGCAGCTGCAGCAGACGCAGGGGCCCAAGTTGGGGATGTCAGGGAATGTCTTCAGAAAAGCCACAAGTTTAAAAGACTGTCGCCAGCCAGAGGAGAAGGCACTTACTGACTGTCCGGTGCGGTCCCCTCACCCTGCAGATGTGGAAACTGAGGCTCAGGGAAAGGAGGGGTCTTGCCCAAGGTGCCCCTTCAACTCACGGCAGAGGCGGCCATGGAGATCAGAGCCCCGACTCCCAGTCCAGTGCTCCTCCAAGTACCTCTTCTCATTTAACCTCTGCATAGCTGACAAGGGAGGCTTCCCTGATGGCTCAGCTGGTGAAGAATCCGCCTGCAATGCAGGAGACCCCGGCTTGATTCCTGGGTCAGGAAGATCCCCTGGAAAAGGGATAGGCTACCCTCTCTAGTATTCTTGGGCTTCCCTTGTGGCTCAGCTGGTAAAGAATCTGCCGGCCATGTGCAAGATCTGGGTTCGATCCCTGGGTTGGGAAGATCCCCTGGAGAAGGGAATGGCTACCAGCAGCATGAATGTGTGAGTGGCAGATATTTAATTAAAATAGAGAGAGAAAATATAAACTGGTACCAGGGGACTGGCTGGCTGCGGATGATTTCTATCTCCAGAGGCTGTGAAAAATCTCTTCCTCCTGTCACTGTGGCTCCCCACCCCCGCCCTCAGCTAACTCTTGGCATCTCGACTCACAGGGTATTCTGCATTCAGGTCATCCTCATGGGTAGCACGTTGCCAGGAGGTCTTCGGTGTTGGTACCTCAGGGTGGTGAGGGTGTGCCCCCCCAGGCTGTGTGTTTCGGGGAGAGAGAAGGTCCATCCATGCTCGGTTCATGCTGTGGTTGTTCACTTGCTCGGTCGTGTCCAACTCTGCGACCCCATGGACTGCAGCACGCCAGGCTTCCCTGTCTTTCACCATCTCCTGAAATTTGCTCAGACTCACGTCCACTGAGTCAGTGATAACGTCCAACCATGTTATACTCTGTCACCCCCTTCTCCTCCTGCCCTCAGTCTTTCCCAGCTTCAGTGTCTTTTCTGATGAGTCGGCTTGTCACATCAGATGGCCCAAGTGTTGGAGCTTCAGCTTCGGCATCTGTCCTTCCAGGGAATATTCAGGGTCGATCTCCTTTAGGATAGACTGGGTGGGTCTCTTTGCAGCCCACAGAACTCTCAAGAGTCTTCTCCAGCACCACAGTTCGAAAGTATCCATTCTTTGGCACTCAACCTTGTATATGGTCCACCTCTCACATCCATACATGACTACTGGGTTCTAGAGAGTCAGAAAGTTACACTGAGCCCAGAGGAGGAAGCCCCTACTCTGATTTATCCTGTTATTAATCCATCCCCGCCATATTCTAAAGCTCAGCCAAACTGGACTCTTGGTCATGCTTCCAAAGGCCTTGCATCTAACTGCCTCTGGGCCTTTGTACTTTCTATGCCTTCTGCCTGGAACACCTAACCTTGTTTCTTTTTTTTTTGATTTTTATTTTATATTGGAGCATAGTTGATTTACAGTTTTGTGTTTTGTGTACATCAAAATGATTCTGTTATATATATATTGGGTTGGCAAAAAAATTTGTTCATGTTTTTTCATAACATCTTTGACCAACCATGTATATATATGTGTGTGTATATAAATATATATATGGAATATCAGCAGGTAAAGAATCTGCCTGAGACATAGGAGACATGGTTTGATCCCTGAGTCGGAAAAACCCTATGGAGGAGGGCCTGGCAACCCAATCCACTATTCTTGCCTGGAGAATCCCATGTACAAAGGAGCCTGGCAGGCTTCATGGGTCGCAAAGAATCAGACGTGATTGAAGCGACTGCACATGTTCGTGTATATGTGTGTGTGTGTGTGTGTGTGTGTGTGTGTATATTCTTTTCAGACTCTCTTCCCATATAGGTTATTATAGAATCTTGAGTAGATTTCCCTATGCTGTACAGGAGGTCCTTGTTGATTATCTTTCTTATATATAGTAGTTCAGTTCAGTCGCTCAGTCGTGTCTGACTCTTTGTGACCCCATGAACCGCAGCACGCCAGGCCTCCCTGTCCATCACCAACTCCCGGAGTCCA